TGTGGACCTTGAAGTGCAGATTTCGTGGCAGGTGCAGTACTTTGTGGCTGTTGAACTGCAGAAAGATAGAAAAATAGAAAGATAAATTGATAGATAGATTAGATTAGATTAGATTAGATAAGATAAGAAGATAGATAGGTAGATAGATAGATAGATAGATATTTGCTTGGTTAGAAAGTTTTGCACCGGGGAGTTCACCTTAAAATATTGATTTCGTGGCAGGCGCGGGTGTCGGGGATGAAGTGCAGATTTCGTGGCGCGGGGGGGGTTGGGGGGGGCGCAGCGCCCCCCCCAGCAGCACACCAGATCCAAAGGTGAGCAGCTCGTGCTTGCTTGCTTGCTTGCTTGCTTCCTTGTTTGGTTTCGTCTCTGCAACGAAAACAACAGGAAAATGCAAATACAAAAAGAGAAAGGAGAACAGCTGCCAAAAGAAAGAAAGATAGATAAATAGATAGGTATAGACAGATAGATGGATAGGCCAAAAAGCCAAAAGCCACAAAAGCCAAAAGCCACAGAAGCCACGAAAGCCAAAAGCCACAAAAGCCAGAAGCCACAGAAGCCAAAAGCCACAAAAGCCAGAAGCCACAGAAGCCAGAAGCCAGAAGCCACGAAAAACAAAAAAAAATCAAAAAAAACAAAAAAAATCCAAAAATAAATACCCCTCCCTAGGAGAGTGTACCTCCCCAGGAGCTCCCTCCTAGTAGGGAGCTATTTCCACTGGTGAACCATTTTTCGAGTAGGGCTACTCAATGACTGGACGGCGACCTTATCGTTGGGTACCTACTTTCTTCCCAGGGAGCTACCTCTAGTAGAAAGCAATCAAGCCTCTATTTGCGCAAGCAGGGGACCAGGAGATCGACAGACGAGCGCCGTAGGAGAGCAAAAGACCAGCGGACCAGGAGACAGAAGGACTAGGATACCAGGGGACCAGCGGACCACAGGACCAGGAGACCGGAGGACTAGGGGACCAGTGGACTAAAGGACCAAGGGACCAGGGGACCAAAGGACCAGTGGACCAGAGGACCAAGGGACCAAAGGACCAAGGGACCACATTACCAGAGGACCCGCAGACCACAAGGCCAGGAGAGCAGCAAAAGAGGCCTATCGAGGAATATTTATTTTTTGATTCGCTTTTTATTTTTTTTGATCATGTTTTTATTTTTTTTTGATGCTCTTTTTATTTTTTTTTTATACCTATGCCAAGTTTGACGGCCTTGTCGGGGCGACCGGTCTCTCCGCTCAAAAGCGTCGCTGTCCTCATGTCCGCGCACAGCAGCCACATGAAGCGCAGTTGCACCGATTCCAACCTTGGTCCGTGCATGTGCACGTCTGTGAGGGGAAAACAAGTCGTAGATTCTGGTGGTTGGATGTGGATGGCATCTTTCATGCTTTGGCTTTGATGTGCTTACCCTGTTGGACACTTGCGCACACCAAATGAAGAGGCACAGCACATTGGCAAATGATGTTGAGGTGTGGTCGATGGGCCATAAAACGCCGCCCCAACGGCTGCTCAACATGCTTGCAAGCCTTCTAATTATCTCATCTGATCTATTCAACATTTTTTGTATTGACTACTTGGGGGATGAAGGGTACAAAATAGGATCCCTAAGTGACCTGCTGGACAAGCTGTGAATTCAACTACCAAGCCAAAACACTCCGGAGCTCCCACTAGGTGCAGAGCCCCGTCCAAATCGGCTTTGGTTCGGACGTTCACAGAGGCTCCTTCGGCAGATGTTGCATTCATGAATCCATGACAGCCAAACAAAACACAACGGCTAAGCATGGCAAACCTACAATTCAGTGACAAACACTGACATACTGCTGCTGGTTTCAGCAATTCTGGTTTGCAAGTGACGGTCATGACAAAGGCAATGATGCTCGCGGTGCTACTGCAACATGGGGTAGTGGCTGGTGATTCAGCTTCACGTACCAAAGCCAAACTGTAAGAACATAGAAACCGCAACTCCATGTCACAATTGGATTGGAGCAATCCCAAGATTCCATAATACCAATTCTGGCGATGAGCTTGACTGATTTTGATGTACAATCTGGCGTGAGAGCCAATCTTACACAATCAGTCTTGACCCATCCCAGTATGATTTATCTACTCATTGCCGACATAGCCAAACCGTATATTGCTAGTCGGGCATGCAACTTTCGGAATTTATACAAAGTTACGGGCTTACAGGCTACTGTATACTATATGCGTATCAACTCAAATGCCCTGCTGCAACAGGTTGCCAAGTGCGAAACATGTTATAGCAAGACAACGCGCACACACACTCTCTCTCTCTCTCTTTCTCACTGTCTCCTTTGGCCACTGCCTGGGCACATGTGGAGACGCTTCCTTGATGTGCTCCATAGAAAAGGTCAGACCTCGGGACTGTGCGAGCATAGAAACACATTGAAACAGTCTGACTCAGACTCCAATGGTTTCATGTGCAAGCAGCGTGCTTCCTGTATGCCAAAGTAGACTCACTGAAAGTTGCACCCGAAGGACCCGAAGCATATCCGAAAGTCTGAAAGCCAAAGCATTTGAAACCATTAAATATATAGTAGGAGCAAGGACGCTACTAAGGGCTCCTGGCCTTACTACTAGGAGC